TATAGCAGTTAATTATTGCTATACTTTACACTACTCAAATAATCGACCAGAAATTCAACGCTGCCTTTTTATACTTTCAAAGACCATGTTGTACGTAAACACTGCCTAGGCATAGGGATATTGTAGTTACAGTAATAGTCAATTACTCTGTATCGACTGTATACAATTTCCTCTCGACCAACTACCAAATGGAGGAATTAGTTTAGTTTCTAAACTAACTCCCCCATGCCCTAACAACGCCGTAGCTTTCATATTCCACATGCAGCGAACAACACACCACTTTCGCGACTCGCGAGAAAAAGTGTCAATCATGCATGCATTATTCATATTATCAGTTCACCTAAATGATCTTTAATAGTGCCCTCTCTACCGAAACTGTATGGGAAAAAACAGAATGCACGCGGGCCAAATTGTCAAATTGGAATTTTAGGAGTGTTTGTAGTTACAGAGGCAATCGACTGTTTGTATTTCTCCTAATTAGTTCGACATGCAGACCATGCGACCTAGCATACTTTTAAATAAATACAATGTGCATCGTGTTTTCCTTTTAAAAGAAGCTGTCCCATTTCCCCTCGGAGTCGTAATGGACAAATCTGCTAAGCCCCGCCCTTTTGGATATTGCGTAAGCGTACGTAACACGTGCGTTTGTGGTACAACACATTTGATTGTGGGGAAAGTCCGTAATCCAGGCCCTATTCTTATTGGCCAGTTGTTAAGTTTTGATTGACGCTCCGGAAGAGTTGCGAGCGCGTAAATATGATTGTATCGTAAGTTTCATTTACGCTCCGGAAGAGTTGCGAGCACGTAGAAAATGAGTGTATCCTATGTTGAATATAGCCTAAAAAAGAGTATAGAGCTGCAAAAGGCCCTACGGTACTCTACTGGTTTCTTTAAAACCTAATCCTATTTCAAAAAGTAGGCCTACTGCCACAAAGGGGCATGTCCTTAAAAGACGAGTTTCGAGCGCGCGAACTCTATTTGAATTCTAATAGGGCGCCCCTATCTCGTGGCAGTACTTTTTTTAAACGTTCCATTGCGTGCTTACAAAATCAGGGCAGTGGGACTTTTTGCAATTATATACTCTTTGCTTAAACTTACTCACAAATGCCTGATCAGAGCTTATACGTACTGAAGAGTGCCTATCCTGTTATACAGTGCCACCAGCTTTTTGACACATAGAAAGTCAAAATATAAAACATTGCTTTAAATCGTGTCAATATTGATTGTAAATTGCGTCCTAGGCGTAATTCATAACAAGGAGATGCCCCCGCTGACATCATAGCAGGAACTATTCAATACGACATGGACATGACACCGTACCTATTCCGTTCGCTTAGAAACACGCTATGCTAAAAAAAAATGCTGATGTTATTTAATGTGTTCAATTCAGGTTGATGTTTGAGATTCCATTCATCTGGCGCATGTCTTATTAATCGGCATAATAGCAGTTTCTCACATATTTTATTAATTTATTTCAACAATATTTTGTAAGGGCGGTCCAACCAGAGCTGATCAGAGGGACACTCAATAGGCCTACATAAAACAAGAAACATAGGAAAATAAATAGATTAACTAACAAGTTAAAGAATTAGCTAAAGAAAAAAATAAAAATAAAAAGGAATACAAAATAATACAAATGATAGAGGTATAGGCCAAGATATAGAATAATTAAAACAATATTAAGAATAATAATAATCATGGTGAAAACGATTCTAGAGTTAGAGTTTTTAAAAACTAATGGATCTTGACTTGAATTAGTGTCCATGGTGTCCATACCTACCGCACTGAAAATTTGAAACGATATAGAAATGATCGGTATCGAAATTAATAATGGTAGTAGGCCTACTACTAGTAATGCAATGTAAATTATTTGTCCATACTGTTGAATGATTGGATCATTATATGATGGGTTATAAAGTGGCAATTGTTGTTTCTATCGCGACCCCGTGAACTTGTTATAGTGGTTGCTGACAATGTTGACAATTGAATGACTTATACTCCATTAAAGGCCTACATAATTGTGAGAATCACATATAGGCCTACCTAAAAATCATGATAATCATTCGTTAGTAAGATCATGTTAACATTAACTATTTTGACAGTGTCATGAAGGATATAACAAGGAGCGTGGTATACACATTTTTTTAACTTAAGTAATACCAATTCAAACAAAAAAAACAACAAAAAAAAAAACAAAAAAAAAACAAACAGAACGAACTGCCTTTTTATGAGTAAAATGGTAAATATTGAATGAGGCGTATATATTCTATTATTGCAGTGGGTTATTAAAAAGTTCGTATAATAAATATATGTTTGTCCAAGAGAAAATAGTCACAAGTAATTTAAAAGATCAGCAAATGTTCAATAAAGGAAGCTTTCTATAATTAGCAGACCAAATATAATGTTTTATTAAAATAAGTAACACATTAATGACGGATGGATTTTAAAACCAAATAGGGGTACCTGGTTTGTAAAGTCAAAATGCAGCCCTAATTGTCGAAAAAATTGTTCAAAAATTTCCCAAATTGGGTACACCATTGAACCATGGAGGAATTAGTTGAGTTCTAGGTTTATCATCGTGATATCAGCTTAATATGCTCTTAAAATACATACAAATTGGAAGTTAATTGATTGATGTTTTATGCCCGTATTCACGTGTGTTTCTTGCTGTAAATGGTCAGAATAATTGCCACGTGCATATGAAATTTTTTTTTCATCAGGCTTCGGTGCGTTTCGGGCGTGGCGCTTATTTATTTATTTTATTAAAATTCTGATTCAACAGCAGGAAGCCACAACCTACAGAATGGAACTTAAACTACAATAAGATTGTGATTAAGAATAAAATACAATTTTATAAAATTAGAGCGGTGAACCTCAATATAGAGCATAAAGTGTGTAGTTTATACAAATAAATAAATATAAAAAACCCAAAGAAATCAAGCAGACTTAATGAAACAAAACAAATAAACGGTTAAAAAATTAATGTAAAGGTTACAGCTAGTCAAGAAAAAAAAACCAGGTACATAATCACCGTCAATCCGATATCATTCCTCACGTCTTTCTTTCTCCCTCCCTTCGTCATCATCATCCCTCCTCACCAGAGTTACCTTCACGACTTACTGGGAATACTAGAAAATTATGACTTAAGTTACGAAGGGACGAAAATACAATGTCAGGAAAGTAATGGATTTTAAAACAATACATTCCGCCGAGTTGAAAAGAACTTCCAGGAATACGATGGGCAAATATAGGCCTATGGGAAAATTGGATAGGCATAGATGCACATGCTAGCCATCGTAACACACAAAACTATCATTACTTTATAACAAAACTTATTCTCATCTTCAGTGACCTGTCACTTGCATGATAAAAGCCTCTTTATAAGACTTCTAATGTGGATGTTTTACTTGTGAGAAATAGTATGTATTAAAAGATTATGTAATGGGCGATAACGCTGTTGGATGTACCGTAGTTGAAATGAAATAGAAATATTTAAAATATCCAACACATCCAATTCTAACATTTTCAATTTCAGCCCTCTAATATGGTTCTCGTTACTACTAATACTACCAGGTAATGACAATCAACATATTTGATAAATTCTAACATTACTATAGCCAAGTGTTGACCATTCCTCCGGACCAGAATTTTAAATGATACGTAACAGTAACATTATATAACAGTACTGGAATGATTACGGAGCCAAACCAAGGCAATATATATACACAGCCAAGGTGTAAATGCAAATAGTGGAACACAAGCTATGCGGCTCGGTTCCAGTAGATACAGAGAATATTTTGTCATTCTTAACGCGTCCTACGAAATTCTTACAGACAGCACTAGTCCGTGAATTTGTGAACAAGATCGGGGATCTAAAGATGCAATCTCTACCGTTCATCATGGCTGCCCGCTCGATCTCAATAGAGGTTCTTTAATAATAATATAAATTTTAAAAGGCAAATGGGGAAAACCCATAAAAACAGCAAACGGCCACATAATGCAAAACAATAAAAAAAATATATATAAATTATATAGACATAGACATAGACATAGACATAGATCACTTTATTCGTCATGAGTTTAAAATATAAGTCTCATGAAAATTATTTTCTTTGACAGGACAAAAACATCAAGAATGAATTTAACACTAGACCACAAGCAAAAAATACATCAAGAATATACAATAACAACTAAAAAGATGACAAAACTGTACAAGCAAAAATCCAAACTATATATATATAATATAAATATATATATATATATAATATATATATTTATATTATATATAATATATATATAATATATATACATATATATATATTTGTGCGTGTATATATATAGGCCTATTAATTAATATATGAATAAGCCTAGTACACTTTTTATTTTCAGAGTACTCAATTCGAGCTGCTTGCTAGAATCGTAGTCACTAATCTGAATGATTGTCATTTCGAAATGCATGTGTTTGATTGTTTTTGGAGGGATTTAACAAAGTGCAAAACCAGCCTGAAAGCGACACTTTTAAATGTCTCTACTACCGTATCTAATGACATTATAATATTAGAATGGGCCTAGTTTACACTTCCATCTGACATCAATCAATAGCTCTGCATTGAATTGAGTCGCATGCTTTATGGCCCGTGTCCAGCTTTCAAGTGATACACCTTCAAATCACAAAATACAATCACATTCCCAACTAATTGTGTTCGTTCTGCGCAATAGTCATAGCATTATAAAAAAAAACACTTAAAAGATTTTAAGCCAAATTCCTTGATTCACTTCGTCAGACTGGCCTACGAGTAGACACCAAAATGAGTCTTCTTTGCTATAAAAATTGTCGCGATTCAGCCATGCTACTCGGAATGCCAACTGATCAAATGCTGAAGAAGAGGGTGTTTAAAGGGAAGAAGCATCCGCAAGATAAATCTGAGGATAATGATAAAGATGATCCGCCATATTCGCCTTGGGACGGTATGTAGCCCTATATTATTCAAAACTTTTGTACCAAACAACTTTGAGATTTACCATTGGCAATGGCTTGATGTAGATATTAATAGGCCTATGTCTTTTTCATGAAATGCAGTTAGGCTCACACGTTTGCAAAGAGAACCTTGTGCATGTTTGGGACCCACCTGAGAAGCCTAATGATAAACTTGTTCTTACTAAAGTGGAGTGGAGTTAAATAGCCTTCTAATTCCAGGCTTCTAGGTTCAATTCCTGTCTGTCTGTAAGTGGCGAGTGTATCTTGCTGTTGGATATGAAGGAAAGTAAACAAAATATTATATAGATCACTATTTCTTTACTGAAAATATCAGACAGGCTTACCGTCGCCATTATTGTTAGGTAGTGAGCTGGAATCAACATGACAAGACAACCGTTCCATTGTTGCCTACACCACTGTGGTATCAATGAGCTGAACGAATCTCACTAATATAAAAACTCTAAGAGATAATGTATGTGTAGATGTAATAAATAAGTAAAATTGTTTTAAGGCCTATTGATAGTAAACTTTCTATATTCTCTATTTTTTTTTTTTTTTTAGAAAAGAACAACATGGAAGAAGAAAATGAGGAGAATGCTTTTGGTCAGCCTAGTAGGTCTACTAGTAGTAGTAGCAGCAAAGAAAGAATACCAATATCGTCATTGTCAACTGGTTACCAGTCGAACTCCCAGACCAATGAATCTCCCTACGATTCCGATGCATTCTCGCAAATCAATCTGTACTCTAGGGAAGTGATGGATGTAATGAACGCAAAAAACGATGGTCAGCAAAATGGTAAATCTGCAGACGAAAAGAAGACCATTGGTCTGCTAGACAAGATTGGAAGAGAAATATCGAGCTTATTAAAACGGAGTGATAAGAAGTCTAAAGATGAACCAGTGAAGCGCGCAAGACCTAATACAAACGGATACGACGGTGGGGAATCAGAATCAGACACTCAAAGTAATGTGAGTGTCGCAGTCGATACAGGGTTTTGGTCAATACACTATGGTGAGAAAGAACGTCTTGCAACAATGCATTCACCTCAGAGCTCTGAAATGGATGAATTTAACCTCAGTAGCGTCAACAGCGAATTCGGTAGACCTCATAGCATCGCCACCACTAGTGGATATGAGAGGTCGTCACGTGATGGAAGTTTCGTCCGTCCATGGAGGACTACTTCTTCTATGGTCAGACCGAGTGAAAATGACATTGTATTGAATCGGTATCAAAGAGGAATAAGATCACCAGTGGAATATTATGGCACTGAAATGGATACTCAATGTGGACTCAAGAGGATGCATTATTCAACAACAAATCTTCCATTAAATGGAAGCCAAAATGGTACTCTAAATAGGTACTGGAGTGAGCAGAATATAATGAGAGAACCTATGCTGAGAAGACGGGACTTCTCTGGTAAAGGAAATGAGAGGAAATATGCAAGTGCAGAGAATTTGACAGATAAGTCATATTCATCTGGGGACGCTAACATGAAAGGACCAGGCTCAGTAACGAGGTATAGACTTTCATTTGTAGCAGAACCAGTTAAAAAGACAATTTCATCGGGTAAAATAGAGCCCATCACAATCACACCTAGACGCGATAGAAGCGAAGAGCGACTTATGAGGACAATCAAAAAACAAAATTTCGGAATGACTTCAACACAGAATAATGATAGATGGAGTACGTCTAGTAATCAGGTCAGTGTCTTTTCCATCTTTTGAATAATAATAACAAACAACATTAATAATAATAATAATACAATGTTATTAACAAATTTATATATAGTCCTATACAGTATAGGCCTATCTTGTTCTTAATTAATTTGTTTGAAGGGCCAAATTATTTTTAGAGTTGATCCGACGGGCCAAAGTAATCTCAGCCGAGTTGAAAGCAATCGTTATACATCTGGGTAAAACTCTTTCCGCTAAGCCTCAAAAAATTTTAAAAGCACCGCGGCGCTTATTCTAGCATTTGCGGTACACAGTACGCACGTGGGACTAGCGAAATGCATTTTTACGAGCACTGTCTGTTAATACACCGACTTTTTATTACACATGTGACGTAAAGAATGCTATTTAACGAATAACAGTGAACAGAACAAAATACGGAGATGGAACTTGGCGGTACAAAAGTCGAGGTGATGCTAACTGTATCACTTGAAAAGAAAGCTGTTGACAAAACACAATGATCAGAACAAAACACAGAGACATAACTTGGAGGCATATAGATCCTGTATGACATGAATTAGCTTTGCAGGACAATCAAAATGTATTTTTATAAGCATTGTTCTTTGGTTCACTACCGTAGCTGTTTATTATCATAATAAAACCCAATAGACGTATTGTGAAGAATAAGACCTATATCCGCATTTTCAAACCACTCCGTGCACATTACCCAGAAGTTGCATTTTTGTCATAACTTTATTAAAAATGTATTCATCGAACTTTTTTTATGTTTTAAGTATTATTTTTCCATTACTTTGTTTTTCTCAGGATATTGGTTAAGTAACAATTATTGTTGTGTCTTCTTAATAATGTGACCATTATAAGTATTATAATAATAATAATAATAATAATAATAATAATAATAATAATTATTATTATTATTATTTATCAATAAAGATTACTAAAAGTAAGATATTTATTGCAAATGGTACTTTGATCATAGGTTATTATTATTTATTATTTACTGTTTCCAAAATGAAAATGTTTACAGGTTGTAGGTAATGGTGAAGATACATCATATATGTCTAATAAACATGTATGCACATTTGTGTTTGATATGTAGGCTTATGTTTCTATTCGAGTACTGTTGTTATTATTATTTATCCTTTTGTTTATGTTATAAATAGATACTATAACAGCGCTCGAATATTGGGACATGGTGTTATAATCGTAGCAAACATAGCTCTTCAACGAAAAGTCTCTTATTCAGCTATGTGTAAAAGGGTGTATTTGGTAAACTCTTTATCTTGAAGATAAACTCTCTGATACAATCGTTCAGATTTTTTGTATTTAATTTATATACTGTATCATGACTTTTTCTGTTGTAGAGTGATCAGTCAAAATTAACACTCAATGTGGATTTCGACTATAGAGCTGATTCTTCTAGATTATATGTCATTCTGAAGTCTGTACATGGGTTACCACCATTGGACAAGGGAACAGGCAAAACTAACGTGCGCGTACATCTCGTCGTGATGCCAGAAAGAGTCCAGAGGGCGTACTCACGACGTAAAAATGAGGGCTGGACAATCAGATTTATGGAGAAATTTCGTTTCTCTAATATCAATACTTTGAACTCTATTGTGTTTAAGGTGGTATTGAATGACGGCTCGACAAAAGAGAGACTTATTGGGACAACAACCATCCATATGAAAGGGATAATCCTGTCAAAAAGGAAGCAAAGTTTTACAGTCGAAATAAACGCAAATAACAATAATTAGGACATGCATAGATAGGTACGCTTTAGCTCGGTATTGTGGTCAGACTTTCCAAACTTAAGGTCGTGAAGTTCACTCCAGTCCAACAACTAACAAACATGCTATTTTGTTATTGTTTAGATGAGCCTACAATGTATTTATAGATTACTGAAACTATGCACGATATCCGGCCTACTGCAGTTCGAATATTTGGTGTTTATAATTATTCCAAGGGATACGGTATAGATTTTGAGAGTGCTTTACCCTAATTTGGAGGTCAATTTAGTATTAATTCAGCAGAGGACTTTAGATAAGGAATGTAATTATTGCTATGATTTTAAAGATAATGGTTGTAAAGGTTATTAATTTAAACATTTTAATTAAGTTGGAAAACGGAACAAAAAATAAACTGAAAGTTCCTTCCTGGTTTATATTAATATATGCCACACCATTCCAGCCCAATGGGTTTAGGCATGTATATTTTTTAGATTATTTGAATAATTAAAAGTTATGACCGGTTGGTTGGTTGGTTTTTGGATCATCAAAAACGAAAATATCACTGAATATGTTCCTACTGTCGTGTCATTGACAGAAAAAAGTTACGCCATCTCCTCATCCAATCAACATTAACCAAGTACTTTTAGCTTCAGTAATTTTCCACCGTGTTATAGATTATAACTCAAACTAGCATATAGGCCTATTAATATAATTCGTCCAGAATAGTGATTTACTGATTTTGTTTCATCCTCTGTTAAATAACAATGTCACTCTCTGTATAGAGAGCAAATAACACTTCCCCATTTAGACATTTCCGTCCAACAAATTACTACTGGTCATCAACAGACAGATTCATCATGCAAATTTCACAGCCGCCACAGGCCAACAAAGGACAGTTTTCCATGACAATCTCGCCCAACAAAACCGGCCATCAACGAACTCGGCCAACAAAGAACAAACTCGCAAAAATACTATTTTTAACGTTGGAGGCAGCAAAATTAGAGCATTGTATTAGTAATTCGAATCGCATTATCTTACTCGAAACCCTGGTATAGATGCAGTATTACACCCATGCTCATAAAGATAATTAATTAGTAAGTTTAAGCATGATATGCACATCATATTTGCAATAGGCATATTATCCTGGTCAATTAATTTGGATGCAGTTTTATAACGGGTTATTCCAGGTACCCTCTTTTCTGGTTATACCACGGTCTATGATTTACCCTGCATACAATATTATTATATCTATTCAGTATAATGATATATAGTTGAAGTTCATTCGTCAATACTGCTCATTTCCGACAAACAGCTTCATTTAATATCAGGGAAACATGATTAAACTGCTCAGTTCACCTACCCGGTCGCCAATCAAAAAAACTCTCATCTGTACCCTCTACAATAGGAGGTATCCTGCATATTACACCAATAAGTGTAAAGATGTTATGTAGTGACGGATTTAGAAGGGCGTAAGGGCCGTACACCCCCTCTATTTTTTGATGAAGAAATTGTTTTGTAAAACGTATCAAAGAGAATGACTATGCTAAATAGTAATAGTCAATCCAATATCAACTTAAATAAATGAAGGTGGTAGAGGTAAGAGAGAAACACCCAATTCAGAGCTCTTCCCTGAGATGACTCCTCTTACTCATATTGCATTCACTTCCCCTCTGTTAGGTGACGTCAGTGGTCCAAGACGGGGGGGGGGGCTGCTTTCCCCGACGAGAAAAAAGTGGTTGTGGTCGGGCATTCACAAGCAACGTACTTTTACAAACGAACAATTACGTACATTCACCAACAACGTACTGTTGTAGGTGTAAACAAATTAATGAAAACCAACCATTTATAGAGGCAGATGTCAACTTTGATTCATAGACACTGCTACGATTAACCTGCGCATAATCCACCAGTCGGGTTCAAAAGCTCTTATTTGTGTATTTTGTATGCTCTTATTACAAATATGATTTCTCATAGATTTGCACATACATTTGATATTCAATTCAATCGAAAGAAAGCCACAATGGCTCAGTTGATTTGGTGAACTGCGCCACCAAGAGAATAAAAATGTAGTTCAACTAAAATGAAAATTCTGACAATCAAAAATTTGTACATAATGACACGCAAATATTTTAAACTGTAATAGGCTATTACAATTTATGGTCCTACATAACCATAACATATTGACTATACAATTAAAGTACAGGTAATTGTATAATCAGTATGTTTTGGTTAATGGACAATCAAATGCAGTAAAAAAGTAATGGACAAGAAACGAGATTTATTTTTAATATTTAAATAATCTTAAAAATATTACGAAATTAAATTTCATACAATGATATTTATTATTATTATTACTATTACATTTTATTATTATTTATATTGTTATTATTTATTATTATTAATATCTATTATTATTATTAGTATTACTATAATTGTTTAAATAATCTTAAAAATATTACGAAATTAAATTTCATACAATGATATTTATTATTATTTTTACTATTACATTTTATTATTATTTATATTATTATTATTATTTATTATTATTATTAATATCTATTATTATTATTATTATTAGTATTACTATAATTATTATATTATTACTGTTTATTAGTCTTAAACATACCAGTATTCACAATATTTTACACTTTTATGAATACTACCTAATTGTAATAATTTTTTTATATTTTAAAATGTCTTAATCCAAAATTTCACTTATCACATTTATGGCGCATGGTACTCAATATTAAATTGTATAAATCTTTATTTATTATTATGACGCTAAGTTTTACAAATTAATAAAATTATCATAGTTACTATATTATTGTTGATTATCATTCATTTTGTATAAAATTATTATATTGTCTTATTAATAGCTGCAACATTTTGGAATAGTACTCTAAAAGAAGCCGAGTGTATGTTTTATGTTTGATCCAATGACCGGGGGAAATAGTGAGCAAATCTCAAAAGGACTTTTTAGGTTTCAATAATTTATTTGTTAGAAGTATGCTATTGATTATGTCATTACTAATTCAAATGCATGAGGCTTGCATTTGGTGCATATACTTCTATGGGGAAAGCTTAATCAGTAGTTGTCGTCACTCTATTTTTTGTAGGCCCTACGTAGTGTTGCAGCAATTATAATTTTCAAATTGAATGAGATACTGTAAGTAATGTTAGACACACTGAGTTTTCTTTTCCTATTTCTATTTTTTTAATTAATTAATTAATTAATTTTTTTAACCGGGGATACTATTTCAGGAGGGATCACCCCCTGGAAGCTTTAGCTATTTAATGTATTTTAAGGGCTCATGATTCTTATGATGTGTATTCCAATAACAATTAAAAAAAAAAATTTAACTTGTGTGTTTGATTGAATCACATATCTTGTGTAGGCTATGGATCAATTTCTCATTTGCTGGTCTTTTCAGTACAAGATACGAAATCTGGATTCAATATACTTATCATAAAATGCGTTTTCAATTGGCAGCTGTAACTTTATGTCCAATATTCAACGAAGGTCTGGTCCAGCTACGATTTCAGACAGACTGCACTACTCACGGAGAGGCGATGCTCTCGCCGAGAAAAAATATTGAAAATAACGTATATATTGAGGTTTTTTTCGTAGGATTTTATTGCAAAAAAGACAAATTGATATATTAAGTACGCCTATGTGATTTTCTTTGTAAACCGGGAGAGCATGTGAAAAAGTAAGAAAAAAATGACCAGGAGTCAGGTCACAGACGGGAGTCCCCCGGTGAAAACCAGAGTGTTGACACATGCATGTATCATAATCACGAATGTTATTTTCTAGAATTGAATGCAAATGGTAGAATACATTATCATAGGCCTACAGAACCATAACGATGTAGGACTAAGTAGGTGAGGAAAATTGAAAGAAAGTTTTAATTGTGATCTTTTGTGGGTTCTGCAAATGGTCTGTACTTTTTTGTATTTGATATTTGCTATTTACTATCCTATATTAAATACTAGTAGTAAAAAGGCTGGTAAATAATAAACAATATTTAAGATTTATATTTAAACTATTTACAATCTTTCAGGTCATCATAAATTGTATTTTTTTTTTTAAATAAAAAATAATGTTTTTTTTTAAAGAGCAAATAGTAGCCTAATTTTTTTCCACTGAAGGCTCCAAAACTCGATGAGGGAGTGGGACGTGCAATTTTATTTGGCCTAAGCATATACCTGCCAAGTAACGCCTATGGGCCTCGGGGTGAAGCCTCAAGGGCTCAGGCCACCACCCTACCATGGAGGTATAATAAACAGCACTCTTATAACATTGTCCTTGACATTATGGACGTTTTGGCGAGTCGAGTGGCCAATAGAAATGTGAATGCGCATGCTCATGAACCGACGATTTCGATTCGCGCAAATAAATTCGCCTGTAGAAAACCGGCTACCCGTTTCCCACTAGGCGAATTTATCCGCGCGAAGCGTCAGCGTATGACAGATAGGTCTACTTATCACTTCTACGTTTTGTCTGACAACTATACACGTGTATAGTTGTCTCAGGTTTTATAATAATAATAATATAATAGTACGCAGCCAATCAGAGCTCTGGAAAAGATTTATTGCGCATATGATGAGCACAGGATCGAAAAGAAGATTGCTACCATGCCACGCCGACAAGTCAAAGCGACACCGTTTGTGATGAAAAAGAAAATCTTTAAACGAAGATGCACTCCCACAAACAACATCGTGTACAGTATGTTGGGATAGTTGAACTGACAGCCACTGCAGGGACGTATCCAGGGGGAGTCGTGGGAGCCGCGGCTCCCCCCCCCCCCACCTTTGTACACAGTATAACATTTTTAAAGCTTTTTTCTTAGCCAATACAAATTATTTCATGGGGCCACTCAAAATGAATGCTTCTAAAATACGTCAAAATGCATCAGTACTCGTTTTGCACAGGCCTGGCCTACTATAATTATAACACGTCTAAGCGTGATTTTTAAAAATCCATAAATCCCAGGCCAAGTCTTTTAAGTTACAGAAATGTGATACTGTATGGCTCAGTTTGGTTTTTATCCTTCTGCAAGCTTCATTAGGGCCTATTGTTTAATAATACTATACTATTAGCAATAATAATAATAATAATAATAATAATAATAATAATAATAATAGTAATAATAATAATAATAATAATAATAAAATTAATAATAATAATAATAATGATAATGATAATGATAATAATAATAACAATAACAATAACAATAACAATAACAATAATAATAATAATAATAATAATAATAATAATAATTTGGACTACCGGTAACGGTCATGTGATGATAATGAATTTTACTAAAAGTTTTGTTTCTGGTCATCTAGAGGTACTATTTCCTCACATTTTCGCTCCTCAGCTCCAACCATGGTGAGTCTGAGGTAGGTGCCGACTCACACAATGTCCTCCCCCTCAACCTTACAAAACAGATCTGCGCCCTTCTGGGTGTAACATTAAACTGCATCGAGTCGGCACCTGACTCAGAGTGTGTCTTGTGACTGCTGAGGGGAGGGGGCATAAATTTGTTTTTAGAATGTGATCTGGATTTTCATGCCCCATTTTCGTGATTATGACTATTTTAGATAAGATTTTTTTTTTGAGGAAAAAAAAAGGAAAATATATTCAAATTTAAGTATGAAAGTGTAATTTCCGGCCATCTAGAAGTGCCCTAATCATAAATTTTCTTACCTCGGCCCCAACCATGGTGGGGCTGAG